ACTTAAACTAGAGCAATGTTTCCGTGTGCCCGGATTGAGTACCAGTGGACATGCTGCATGAGTTTGCAGCCTTGCATAGCTCATTGGGTAGCTGGTCTAAGAAGCAAGCAACTCTTTTCCCCAAAGACACTGACACGGCTGTGTTTCCCTTGGCAGATGGCTTGGTGTCTTACAATGCTCCAGCTGGCCAGCAGTTTGTACTCCCCGGAGGCTCCATCATTTATCTGAATGATTCTGTCTATGATGGAGCCGTTGGGTACAGGTAAATTCTGGGAAACTTTGATCATCAAAATGGGAACATGGCCACTAAGAATATTTTATCATGGCTTTGGCTCAAAAGTCAGTCAATCAATCAGCCAGAACATATTTAGCCTGTACTAACCATTTTGAGATAATTTAGACAAAGAATGGTCTTTATTTCCAAGGAACTTAAGGGCTTATATGGGAAGACAAGTTAATCACATGGAAAACAACAATAAATTACAGAAAGCATGGGCTAAATATTGTGGTATGGCTCTATGTCTGGGAGTCATATTATAATCCTCAAACCCAGACATGTGGTCTGATACTAATTTTGGTAAAATATGGAAACAAAGGGTCAGAGAATTCAAGTAATAAGCATAATAAATTGAGCAGGTCAAGAAGTTCAAGAATAGACCCCATAAATATAAGAACTTTAGAAACTGTGAAAAGAAGGAAACTAGTTAGGATTATAATAGACAAGGGAAGTTTCTAAGATGAGATGAGAACTGGAGAAGGAGATGGTAAGTATTAGAAAGCAGAGGAAAGGAAAACAGGACTGAAGACAAGAATGGTTATTACAGAAGCCAGAGCTGAGGAAAGCAGAATGGACCAAGGGATAGGACTAAAATGGACCAATAGAGGGCCATGGTGGAGGTGTAGCTCAGGGACAGTAGGAGTCCAAGGTGGGATGAGAGCTGTTCCCACCTATCCCACTTCACCCCAAGCCTTACCATTCATTTTCTATCTCACTACAACATATTCTCTTTCTCAGCTCAGCCTTCATGTGCAAATACCGAAGCTGGGAGAGAGATCAGACCATAGTGAAGCCCAGACTAGATGACTGAAGTTGCTAGGGTTTGAAAAGGGGAGATATTAGTGAGTCTCAGAAAGGGAAGTGTGGAGTTACAGCATTGCCATTGGCTTGGGTGTGCAGAATAAACCATTGCCCCCAGCTACCACCCCCTGGCAAAGACCTGATTCATCCAGTTTTCTACTCCTAGTCACTTCCTTTCCATCTACTTAGTCACTGTTCTGTTCCATTTGCTTAGACTGTCTTGGCATCATTCACTCAACCACACCGCAGTAGGCATACACTCAAAGCATAGGGGAAATCAGAGATCAATCGTAATCAGTAGAGTTTAATAAATCTTGGTTGATCAACTGCTACTACATGTGAGGAATTTGGCCACATGGTAGGTGTTCAAAGATAATGACATCATTGATCCTCCTTATAAGGAGCTCTTAATTTGAAATGGGGGCCAAAACAGGATCCAAATTACTACAACACAAGGATGTGAGTAAGAATATCCTATGAATGCCCTCCATTTCAAAGAAAGTATAAGCTACAGTAGGAAAGCTCAGGATTGGGAACAAAAACACAAAGGTTCATGTAATTAATAGACACTTCTTTTTGCTATGAGGCTAAAATGATTGAAAGTGTACAGGAAAAGCATTTTGTAAAGATAAAGTGCTTAACAAATGTAAGCTATTATCTGCTTGGAGGACCAGCAAAGGCAAAATAGAATGGAAAAAACATGGGGCCAGCAGATGGTAGAGTGGTTAAGGCACTGGACTAGCACATGACTGACTGTGGTTTGAGTCCCAGACCTGATGACCTGAAAATTACACCAGATGATGTGCACGCATGCCCAAAATCCCAGGAGAAAGGATTGCAGCATGGCCATCCCCCTGGGAGGTAATGTCTCACTTTCCCTTTCACTGTCTCTCTCTTTTCAGAGAACATATGTATCCTACAGCAAAAAACCTTTAAAAAATTGAAAAAAGAACAGAGAACATCTAAAATGGGCCTCAAAGGATGAGTGAAATTTTTACAAGGAAAGAATCTTGAGAGAGCATTTTAGGCTGAGGGAATAACATAAAGAAAAAAGAATCATGATTGTAAAGTTTAGAGAAATGGGCAAACATCAGCAGTTTAGTTAACCGTGGGCCATATTTATGTAGCAAACAAGTAGAGGAGAAGCACAGCAAGGCATTTTAGGCCATCGGTTAGAAGAACTTGAATAGCAGGACCAGAAGAACAAGAGGAAGAGGAGCACGAGGACAGGAAGAAGGAATGCTTCTTTGTCAACATCATCATTAAAATAATGAGTCCCTGAAGGCTTTATTAGTTTTTTAGAGAGATTTTTGCTATAGCGTGCATGCGCTCACCAGAGCAACAGGGAGAGACAGAGAGTCAGAAAGTGAGAAAGCATCCCTCATGGGTATGACCATGCCGCAATCCCTTCTCCTCCATTCTTCTCTCAGGATTTTGGGCATGCATGTACATGCACCTGGTGAGTTTTAAGCCATCAAGTCTGGGCCTCAAACCATGTGGGAGTCCAGTGACGTAACCATTATGCTCTCTGCGGGTCCATCCTGAAAACTTCATTTTAAATTTACTTATGTACTTCTTCGGTAAAAAGAAGAGAGAAAGAGAGCCCCATCAGGGTTCCCATGCCTTAACCTACCCCCAGCCTCAACTGGCACAGATGACAAGCATGCACACTCCTGGTGTGTTCAGGCAGGTCTTGGGGTGCAAATCCATGATCCGTCCCATGTGGGCTCAGCCACACCATCAGTGTGCTTCCACCTGGCCCCAAGTCACTCAAGGTTCTTTTATAAAGAAGTACGTATTTAATTTTACTTTATCATTATTATTATTTTAAATTTGTTGCAGGGTTCCCATGCTCACCAGAGAGAGACACACACAGAAAGAAAGTGATAAAACAAGCCACCAGTTCTGGGATTCAAACCCTGGTCAGCCATGTGAGAGTCCAGTGCCTTAACCACCACACCACCTGCTCCCAGTCACTAATGATTTTTAATGCTGGAGAAGGGCATGCTTAGAGATGCGCCTTAGGTGGATTCATCAAACAGTGTGCAAAGGTTACATTTTTTAAAATTATTTTGTTTACTTATTTATTATTATTTTTTTCACATGGATTTTTGCCAGAGAAAGAGAGACAGAGAGAGAGAGAGAGAGAGAGAGAGAGAGAGAGCAAACTGCCAGCTTCAGAACTCTAACCATGGTTGGCCATGTGGGAATTCCAACACCTTAACCACCATGCCACCTGCTGGCCCCCAAAGGTTACATTTGAGAAATAAGGAGGTGATGGGGGTATTTTTAAATCCCCAAATCTTTCAAGTAAAAAGAATTCATGTGGCCATAGGGTGACTGTAAAAATGGGAACAAGGAGGAGATGTGCACCCACAGAACACTCACAACTTCATTGGATGTGGGAGACGAGGCAGCAGGCTGAGAAGACGAGTTAGATGAAGCATGACAGTCTCGATGACTGAAACAGCGGGGCTGCCATTTATTCATGCCACAAATAGTTTTCAAGTTCTTACTACATACCAGGTACTTTCAGGACAGAAATGGTAAACCTAAGCAAAACATTAAGTTTAGCAGGAGATAATGATGGAGTTAGCCTGGGATGTAAGATTAAGGGATGAGTAGAACCTTCAAGTGCAGAAGTAGGAAGGTAGCTGCAAATAAAGCTTTGAACCCACAGGCAAAAATAAAGCAAACAAACAAACAAACAAACAAAAACACCCAGAAATTTAGATATGATTAGCTTCACTTCATACATGAGGGAATGATATTTCAGACAGGTGTTACTGAGTAATGAGATCCAAAATATTTAGACCAGGATCTTAGGAAATAGACATAGCCACAAAAAATCACCTTTTTAAATTAAAAAAAAAAAAAGAGAGACTAATGTTTGCTTTTTTCCCCCTAATTCTAATCATTCTAAGGTGTATATAGGTAAAAGTGGGAATTTTCCTTCCTTTTTCCTTCTCCACTCGATTTGATTTTGTTCAAACAGAAACTAAATAAGCATTTTAAAAGTGTATGTTTCTTAGAGAACCAGCAGATTGTGTAATGGTTACTCCCATGTAGTCAACTGTGGTTCGAGTCCCAAACCTGGCACTTAAACTCATGCCAGACATTGTGTGTCCAAAATCCCGAGAGGAGAATGGTGGAGAAGGGATTGAGGCATGGCCGTTTTCCCTGGGGAATGATTTCTCACTTTCTGTCTATCTCTCTCTATCTCTCTCCAGCAAGCTCATGTACCCTATAGCAAAAATCTCTCTCAAAAAAAAAAAAAAGAAAGAAAGAAAATATGTTTCTATTCATAAGCCTTTGATGGAATTTATTTCTCTGGAGACAATGGGAAATATATTTGCTGCAAGTAAACTTATGTTCTCATAGCCTACTTATCTGTAGAGAGAAAAAAAAAAAGATGTCAAAACCTTGAGATGGAGATCCAGGCTCTGGGCACTGTGGATAAGGCCAGTCAGATTTTATAACTTGTCAAACAGTTTTTGATGACTAAATATATTGTAAAATGTATCTATGAGTCTGGTATAATAACTTTTTTTTTTGTTAAGTTTTTGCTATAGGGTGCATGCAGTCACCAGGGAGAGACAGAGAAAGAAAGTGAGAAGGAAAGTGAGAAATCACCCCCAACCCGACACCCAGAAGAGATGGCTATGTCCTCTATGGGTTTTGGGCACACATGATTTTCAGGCTGCCATGTCTGGGGCTCGAATCAAAGTCAGCTGTATGAGAGTCCAACACCTTAACCACCACACCACCTGCTGTTCCCAGCATAATCATTCTTAATCATTTTTTACAGTTCACAAGTTTGCATATTGTTAGTTCTGGTTGTAAACCCCAAGGGTCACATCCATTATTGTTTGAGGATAAATATCCCAATCTCTTTTTTGGGGATACTCCTGACATATCTTTCAGAGTGTGAGATACAGATAGAAGAAAAGAGGGAAGTTCCACATGATGAGTTCTTACACTGTCCCTCCATAAAAGAAGGCCTCTCTATGTCCTTCAAATAGCCAAGTTAGCATAATTCCACTTACAGTCAACACAGAGCCTCACATCAAAAGTAGAAAGGGATACAGTGCTAAAACACAAAACAATATCCAATACCTGGGACTCTCAAGAGTCCATGATTCTAGTATTCTATGAATTTCACTAAAACTAATTATAAATTACTATTGAAATTTGGCTGAGAGTCCTTTCTTTTTAAAAACTTTTCTATATTTTAAATTTTGCTATAGGGCAAATTTTGAGTTTGCCGAGTGAGAGGGTAAGAAAGCACCCCCCCAGAACGCATGGCCATGCTGCAATCCCTTCTCCTCCATTCTCATCACAGGATTTTGGGTACACATGCACACGTGCCTGGCATGCTTTTCAAGCCACCAGGTCTGGAACTTGAACCGCACATTTGGCCATGTGGGAACCAGCTCCTTAACCACTTTGCTACCAATTGTTCAAGATGCCCTTCTTTGCCCTTTGGTTTGATCTCCAATTGGATTGTTGGAGATGTGGGCTAGAGATGGCATGACTGGCTTCTCTAAAATTGGTTCATTGAACAATTAGTCAAAAAAGAGAAAATTTTTCAACAAACTCAGAACATTTATTTGGTGATGAAACAAGAACTCCTATGTGGTAGCATTCATTCTATGCATGTAGTCATTTCTCCATTGATTCAATGAGTTAACTCATTAATTGCATTTGATAATATTGAGTCATTGTATAAAGACATATTAAGTATATGAGAATAGACAAGGTACAAGAGATTACTGAAAGATTTTCACATAAAATGATAAAATAATGTTGAAAATTTTTGCTGTCGAAAGAGTAAGCATCAAATATTTATAAAATTTATTATATGGGGCCAGGTAGGTTGTGTGGTAGCTGAGGTAGCTAGATCCCACATGGCTGATGACACAGTTCAAGTCCTGGACCCAGAGGCTTGAAAACCAAACTTGGTGCATGTGTGTGCATGCTCACAATTTCGAGAAGAGAATGGAGGAGAAGGGACTGCATCATGGCCAACACCTTTAGAGGGTGATTTCTTTTTTTTTGGAGAGGTTTTTGCTATAGGGCACGTGCGCTCACCAGACAGACAGAGAGAGTCAGAGAGACAGAAAGCAAGAAATCACCCCCGCCAGGGGGGATGGCCATGCCACAATCCCTTCTCCTCCATTCTCTTCTCGGGATCTTGGGCATGCAAGCACACGTTGTGAGTTGAAGTCACCAAGTCCGGGACTCAAACCACAGTCGACTACATGGGAGTGGAGGCCAGCGACATAGCCATTACGCTAACTGCTGGTCCCTAGAAGGTGATTTCTCACTTTCCTTCTCTCACTCTCTTTCTCTGTCTCTCTTTTTCTCTTTGGCAGTCACACGGACCCTATAGCAAACTAAAAAATAATAATAATAAAAATTTTTAAAATTTATTATATGAAATTCTAAGTTTTCTATTGATGCAGGATAAATGAGTTAGTATTACAAAATATATTTGATCATTTGTCATCTTTTACTTCCAGAATAATTAGCTTTTATAAAGCCTGGGGAGAAAAAGCTGGGGAAAAGCTCTTCCATGAACATGCGATTAACTCGGATTCCTCTTGCCTTTTCTCCTCCTCTCCTGGCCTGAGCAGCATGACGGAAGGGCTGGGCCAGTTGACGGATGGGGTGTCTGGCCTGGACGACTTCACTCAGACTCACGAATACCACGTGTGGCCCGGCTATGACTACGTGGGCTGGCGGAATGAGAGCGCCACCAATGGCTACATTGAGATCATGTTTGAATTTGACCGCATCAGGAATTTCACTACCATGAAGGTCAGTGGAGTCAAGTGTGTTGGGACTTCTTCAAAGGGGTCACACTGACAATGGTGGAGAAAAGCCATGCTGAAAAAAAACCTGGCTGATGCCAGTAAAACTGGGTTAAATACATATTCTGCTTTGACCTACTTGCATCCATTTCAGAGGTCACTTCTTTTAGGGATTTTTTTCCCCTGGGAATCCATTGGGGAATAGGGAGTTAGAATAGGTTTTCTTTCTTGTTATGTTTTTGCTTTTTGCTATAAGGGTGCATGTGCTTACCACAGAGATACAGAGAGAGAGGAAGAGAAGAGGAAAGTGAGAAGCCACCCCAGGGGGAGATGACCATGCTGCAACCCACAATCCTTTCTCATTCATTATTCTCTCGGGATTTTGGACACACATGTGCTCAGCATTTTTTCCAGGCCGCCCAGTCCAGGACTTGAATCCTGCACTCAGCCACGTGGATCCAGCTGCCTTAACCACCATACCACCCAGCTGGCCCTTGAACAGGTTTTCTTAATAATAGATTAGTACAGTGTTCTCATGGTTTTGGTCCCAGCACCAGTGTTGACATGTGTATTAAGCAAAGTATCCAAGGCCCATGATCAATTGAAGGCCCATGATCAATTGAAGGCCCATGAAAATGTTTTAATGTCTTTCAGTGCCAGAATTTTACAAATGAAATTTTATAATCAAAGATTATATTCATTTTTAATCAATACAGCTAGTATGTATTTAATATATGAATATATATTCGAAATTATATTTTATGGAGGAAGGGGCCCACAGAGGCCAGAGTGACTTGGGCCATGGAAATGATTTGCTTCCTCAGGAAGCAAAGCTCATTGCAGGTCAGATTCTCAATGGAAGGGAAATTTCTACTGCTCCCAGCCTTAGAGAGTGTCATTCTCCCCCCCCACCCATGTACTCAGAAATCATAAAATAAGAAAATTCCATACTTTTCTCTTCCTAGAGGATCTTGATTTTTTATCTATTGTAAAATGACACACCAATTGTCATTTATCTGTATATATCCTATTCTCAACTGGATCTCAAACTTCTCCAAGGTAATGATTCTGTTTTACAATCTCTGTACCCTCTGACACTTAAACTGGCTCAATAAATGTGTGCATATGAGCCAAGGAGGTCCTTTACTGCCTATTCTAACCAAGTACAGTTATAATATCTCTACTGCCTTGAGTAGGAGGAGGAGGAAGGGGAGGAGATAAACAGAAACTTGAGGAGAGACTAGGGCCAGGAGTAAGTGCCGGGCCAGGATCATGATTCCAGCCCTCTGGTCCAGGGTTTCAGTCTACCTTCTTTATACATTTTGGTGCCTTTGCCCAGTCAGAGAAATTTGTTACCAAAGGGTGGATTCAATTCTAAGCAAAGGACTGGGGTAAGGGGTTAATTCAGTTGCTATAAGGCTAAAAATGTAAATTATTAGGGGCTTTTGTTTATGTTTTTGACTAAAATACCAACATCTAAAAGTCTATATTAAAATACAACGATTTTACCTGGGTGAGATTAAAATATTAAAAATGTTATGCCTTCAGTGCAGTACCAGAAGTTATACTATCAATTCATTATCATAGAGCAGTCAGGAGGGGAGGGAGTAGGTGAATTTTGTCAAGTGGTTGAACTGAAGCCAGTGGCGTGGGAGAGGATTAGAGACTGGGCATGGGATGGAGCAAGGTACGTGCAGAACCTGAGAAGAGCCAGGGGAGGGGCTAAGGGAAGGCCCATTTCTGTTTTCTCTGAATCAGGCCATCACAGGAGAGCTCAACCATGATGCAATGTAGAATACAGTGATAGTTTTCTTGGTACCTGGCTCAAACCATTATTTTCCTTTTATCTTACTCAAGTTCAAGTCTGTTTCAGAGAGAAAGTAATAGAAGAGAAGAAAAGCTCATGCAAAAAATAAAATCCTCAGCTTCAATGTTTACTTCCTAAATTCATCCATTCTTCTATCTATCTTTGTTTTTAATTTATCAACTGTACTTGGCATAGTCATAGCACTATGATAGGTTTTAGGGGTAAAGGTGAGTAAGAAATGGCTCCTATCATGGTATAATTTGCAGTTCAATAGGGAAGGCACCATTTATTTGTGAAAGGAAGACATGACACCCAGGAAAGAGCATTTGAATTATCCTTAAGGGTTTCTAATAAATCACAAGTCAATATTCTTTACACAAACTAAGAGTCAAAAGAAAATCCAGGGGCCAGCAGGTAGCATGATGATTAAGCCACTGGACTCCCATATGGCCAACTGTGATTCAAGTCCCAGCCTCAGAAGCTCAAAAATCACACCAGACATGTGTGTGCATGCCCAAAGTCCTGAGGGGAGAATGGGGAAGAATAGAGAAGGGACTGCAGTGTGGCCATTCCCTCTGGGGAGTGATTTCTCAGTTTCCCTCTCCTTGTCTTCCTCTGTCTCTCTAGTGAGCACATCCACCCTATGGCAAAAACCTAGAAACAAAAATGAAAATCCATGTCTATTATATGACTTCCTGATGTTAATGTGATACTATCTCCTAATTAGATGAGTAACTATGAACTAAATGAACTAACATTTAAGATAAGAATGGAAAGAGCAAATATACCCAGTTTGCTAGTTCACCATTCCAGGGTGACTCACAGTTATAATCATGTGTGTGTGACTGTGTGTAACATATTTTTCTTCACAGTTTTTTCGCTCTTTTTGGAGAGAAGAATATGCATAGTAATAAAAATATTCTTTAAGAGAAAATTTATTTATATTGCTAAAAAATGTATACACTTGGTGCCAGCAGATGGTGGTTGGGGTGCTAAACTCCCACATGGCCAACCGTGGTTTGGGTCCGGGTCCTGGTGGCTTGCTTTCTCACTCTCCTTCTGTTTCTCTCTGGTCAAATTAAAAAATAATAATAATTGGAGGCCAACAGGTAGTGTGGTGATTAAGGAGCTGGACTCCCACATAGTTTGAGTCCCAGATCTCGAGGCTTGCTTTCTCACTTTCTCTCTCTCTGGTGAGCACATGTGCTCTATAACAAATTAAAAGCAATAATAATTATAAGAGAGATAGAAAGTGAGAAATCACCCCCCGGGGGGATGGCCCTTCTCCTCCATTCTTCTCTCAGGATTTTGGCCACGCATGCACACGTGCCTGGTGGGAGTTTAAGTCACCGGGTCCGGGACTCGAACCTCAGTCAACTACATGGGAGTCCATCGACATAGCCATTACACTAATTGCTGGTCCCAGCACTTGAGGTTTCTAGAAAGAAAGATTAAATTCTTTTGAGTTGTATATTATTTCAGGCTTCTCAGCTAACCCTGTTTAGAAGTAGGATGGTCTTGAAATGTACCTAGAAGGAAATAGGATGACAGTCTTCCCTATACCTCAGTTCAGAATAGCTTGACTCTGAGTAGACAGCAATTGTGGTTGAGAGGATTATAGACTCCAGAAGATTAGGAAGGACCTGAGAGGAGGTTGGTTCAGCCCCCATTTAACAGATAAGGACAAGGCAGGCAAGCAACATGACATGAAGTGACCATGGCTTTATGATTGCATAGAGGTGACTAGGGTTGCAGCCTAGGGTTTGCAAGACCTGACTGCCATATCACACTGCCCATGAAGTTCCTAGAAGGGAAAATTCCAAGACTGCAGAGAACCAACTGTTCACCTAGAGTAGTGCTCAGAGAGTCAGCTAGGTCTAGAATCTTACTCAGTTGGCTTTGAGTGTGTCTCCATGCCACCTAATAGTGCCAGCTTGTCACCAATAAGCCTCTTTCTCTACCAGGTCCATTGCAACAACATGTTTGCTAAAGGTGTGAAGATCTTTAAGGAGGTACAGTGCTACTTTCGCTCAGAAGCCAATGAATGGGAATCTAACGCCGTCTCCTTCCCTCTTGTCCTGGATGATGTCAACCCCAGTGCTCGGTTTGTCACGGTGCCCCTCCATCACCGAATGGCCAGTGCCATCAAATGCCAATATCATTTTGCAGATACCTGGATGATGTTCAGTGAGATCACCTTCCAATCAGGTAGGAGCTTGGGGCCTCCAGGGAAGTGGAAGCAGGGAGCTATAAGAGAAAGGCAGGTGTCCATGGGGACCAGCAGGGGGGATGGAGGTTAAGGCGCTGGACATTCTCATATGGTCAACCATAGTTCAATACCATCTAGGATCTTGTCCATATTCAAGTATCTCTGATTATCTAATAATGTCTTACTACAGTTGTCTCAGTCAAGTCAGAGCTTTGATAGGCCTTTGGGTTGAACTGCAGTGGTGAGTGGTAATGTGCTACCCTGTAAAGCCATACGGAGCCATACAGAAGATGAGGGCTTTGTTCCCAGGTCAGCCTGTACATCACAGTGTAAATGCCCATGATTCTGGCTGGCTGGGAAGGCTGAGGAGAGGATCATGGCTTGATAATTTATTGAAAGTGCCTGTCTTTCTATGTCTAAATAAATAAATAAGCTTAAGAAAAATACTCGAAAAGGGATCAGCAGTCAGCATAATGGCTATGTCACTGGACTCCCACATAGTCGACCGCGGTTTGAGTCCCGGACCTGGTGGCTTAAACTCACACGGGGCACGTGTATGTGTGTGTACAAGATCCCAAGAGGAGAATGGAGGAGAAGGGATTGCGGTGTGACCATCCCCCCTGGGGGGTGATTTCTCACTTTCTGTCTCTCTCTCTCTCTGTGTCTGTCTTTCTGGTGAGCACATGTGCCCTATAGCAAAAACCTCTCAAAGAAAAAAAAAAAAAAGAAACAGAAAAATACCCCAAGAAATAACTAAGGACTTCGTGTATTTCTTTACAATATCTCCTAGTTGTCTCTCTCTCTCTCTCTTTTTCTCTCTTTTTTTTTTTTTGAGAGTATAAAGACTCTGTCAGGAAGGTCTCTGTCTCTCTTGAAATAAATACATAAATTAACTTTTAAAATATTTGAAAAAAGAATTCTTCATGGATAGTGTTACATACTTGAGGTTGGACCTCAGCCTGGGAGTATAATGCTGGACTCTGTAACTGTGAGTGATTCTAAGATTGATTTCTGGTTTCAGGAAAGTTCCCATGACTTTTTCTCTAGATCTTATCCTCCACCGCTGACCATTTATGCCATTAGAGGTTGCTAATGGTGATTTTTTTAATTCCTCTTTTCTTGTTGATAGCTTATTATTTTTTATTATTTATTATTTTTAAGATATTTTAATTAACATTCTAATTATACATATTTTGGGGGTACAATGTGATTTTTCAGTACATGCATACGTGAGCGATGATTAAATCAGCCATAGCTATCATCTCAACCATTTGTCATTGCTCCTTTTGGGTTGGGAATGTCATTGTTTCTTTTGGAAATGTTCAAAATCCTCCCTTTGGGTTACTTGGAAACATGTAGCAAATTGTTGGTAACTATTAGGTTATCAGAAAAGTCATGGAACATATTTGCAAAGAAAAGTATGTTATGACTTTTCTGAAATCCTAATATCTTCTCCCCACTGTATTTTTTTTTTAAGAGAGATTTTTTCTGTAGGGTACGCATGCTTTCCAGAGAGACAGAGAGAGACAGAAATAGAGAGTGAAAAATCCCCCCCCCCCACTCCCGGGGGAATGGCCCCATCACAATCCCTTCTCCTGCATTCTCCTCTCAGGATCTTAGGCATGCACACACACGTGCCCGGCGTGAGTTTGAAGCCACCAGGACAGGGATGTGAACCATAGGCGACTATGTGGGTGTCCAGTGATGTAACCATTACACCATCTGCTGGTCTCATCTCCACTGTATTTTATAATACAAAAAATTGTTCTTCCTATCTATCCACAATTTTATTTCCATTAATTAACACCTCTCTGCCTGTACCTCCCTATCCTTCCCATATTCTAACAGTCACTCTTCATCCTTCTACCTCTATAAGGTCTTTATTTATTTATTGTCAGTTTTCACATATGAAGGAGAACAGGTGGTATTTCTCTTTTTGTGTCTGGCTTACTACACTTAGTATAATGTGCCCCACCTCCATCTATTTATCCTCAAATGATAGGATTTTGCCTTTTTAATGGCTGAGCATATTCGTGTGTGTGTGTGTGTGTGTGTGTGTGTGTGTGTGTGTGTGTGTATGTGTGCATGTATCACATTTTCTCTACTAATTCTTCAGTTGATGAACACTTAGGTTGATTCTATACCTTGGCTATTGTGAATAGTGCTGCAGTAGATGTTGAGGTGCAGACAACATACCAATTTCATTTCTTCTGCATATATGCCGAGCGATGGGATATTGCTGGACCATACAGCAATTCCATGGTTAGTTTTATGAGGAAACGCCATGCTGTTTTCATAATGCTTCTTAAGAATGTTCAAACCATTTGCTACATCCTGCTATGCAAAAGCATCTCCATTTGAGTTTTACGATGCTGAGCACATCTCAAGGGCGTGCAATCCAAATGCTATGCTCTGATGTCTGCTGGAGCAACAGTGAGGTCATTCTTTTCTCAGTGCAGTTATGTCGCCAGGATGATATATAGCTGGGTTCATTTTATTCAGTTTGCTTCAACTCCTAGGAATTCCTTTTAAATTCTGAACACTATTCTTTTATTAAAAGTTGGTTTATTTTATTTCTTGGGGTGAGAGAGGGAGAAACAGGAACCTTTGACAGGGTCTCATTATGTCATAATCTATTCCTCCAGGACTTCATGTTTCAGGTTGACCCAGGGGTTGAACTGCAATCTTCCATGTGACTCTAGAATTACAGAGAAATTCCCTACCACCTGTGCCATCATGGCTGGCCTTTAAAGCACTGTTCTTAATTGAATGACAGCAGCAAATAACAATTGAGCTTACTGAAACCAGGCTCTGTAAAATCTGGGAAAGTAAAAAGGCATTTAGGACATTGTCCATGCCATTAAATTTTATATGAGGAAAAAAGATTTTTCAAAGAATGTTCAGTGTGGTACCAACAATAAGTAGTCAGAAGCAGAGAGATTTGTCATGGAAGGACAAAGGAAAGAAACTTCTACAGGGCTTGGAAGAAAAGGACAGGCTTTAAGTAATGTATGGGAGACAAATCTAAAAATAAGCCAGAAGAGCTCGGCTTTCTGATTTGATTTTTTTTTTTTTAATTTCAAGATGGTTTTCTTACTAAGAGGTATGACTAAATATCCCTTACTTGAACTGCTTAGGGGCACAAGTGTTTCAAATTTTGGAATGTTTTGGATTTGGGGATATTTGCATATACCTAACAAGATAAGTTGTGGATGGGACTCAAGTTTAAACATAAAACTCATTTATGTTTCATATTCACCTTACACTTATAACTGAAAGCAATTTTATCTAATATCATCACACGGTAGTGACCCATTACGCGAGATCAGGTATGGGACTTTCCATGTATAGTGTCATGTCAGCACTCAGAAAGTTTTGGATTTTGGAGCATTTTAGATTTTAGATTTTTGACTCTTATATTTTCAGATTAGAGGTGCTCGACCTGTACCAATAAAGAAATAGAGCACATATTTACAAAAATAGTATCGATGCCAAATGTCTTCTGTGTTAATCATTTAATCAACATAAATAGGCAGGTTACCTTATATTAGCATCTATTCGGAGCAGAAATCGAAATACTAGAAAGCAGTGGCGCTTACCCTGTGTTAACTAGGGACGCGAAGATTCCCATCTGTACTCAAGGATCCCCTTGGCAAAGCGATTGATATACTTGTCCTATTCCAGCTAAATATAACTATAGACTATGGGTTTTTTTGTTTGTTTTTCCTAAAGATCTCTTGAGTTTTAAATCTAGTTTCATGACAATATTAGTTTTTGTTTGCTTGTTTATTTTAAATAATTATTTATTTAATTTTATTTATCCATTTATTTTAATTTGGCCAGAGAAAGAGAGGGATATCAAGAAAGCAAGCCACCAGGTCCAGGACTCAAACCATGGCTGGCCATATGGGAGTGACCAGCACCTTATCCACCACGCCATCTGCTAGTCCCCATGATAATATTAGTATTCACTGGAGCCTCAGGATCAGTCAGAAAGCACGTGTAGATGCCAGATGAATAGATTCCCCATTCATATGACAATGTTAAGGAAAACAATGAGGATTTCTGGAAGGCTTAGAAGGGAAATGCACGTTCTATTTTTCAGTCCCCTTGATCAGACAAGACACAGGAGAAAATTAGTTTCCAACATCAGTCTGGGGTCTGGCCACAGAAGCTGCAACATCACATGCCAATGTCTATAATCCATCTCTAAGGGTGAATGAAGCCTTAGTGTAGAAATTACAGGGCTAGAGCAATGAAGCAGAGTGAAACCGCCAGATAAGGGTTACGCTTTCTTGAATGAGACAGTATTTTAGCACTGTATCTGTCTCACGACTGCTCACCTGCTATATTCTCTCTAGATTTTGCTGAATAGGATACTACTTCCTATGCTTCATGGTAATGTGGCTGCAGCCCTCTGACCCACTGTTTATTAAATTTTTGTACTGCAAGACCTAGTACGTATTACTTTTAATTTATTATTTTTCTAATTTATTATTTTTCTAGAGATTTTTGCCTTAGAGTGCATGCATTCACCAGAGAGAGAGAGTGAGAGAGAGAGAAAAGGAAAAGTAAGAAATCACCCACCCAGGGGGCATGACCACACTATAATCCCTTCTCTTCCATTCTTCTCCTGGGATCTTGGGCACACATGCACATATGCCAGTGTGATTTCTAAACCACTGGATCTGGGACTTGAACTATGGTGGGCCATATGGGAGTCCAGTGATATAAACATTACACCATCTACTGGCCCCTAATATGTACTATTTTAAACAAAAATTTTGTAAAATATCGTTGTTCTTACTACGTGGATAAATGATAATATTACGCAATATATTTTTCAAAAGCTGGTTGCAAGCCACTGAATTGATTTCACAATTTTCTAGGTCACAGCCTGCATTCAGAAACCCCACTGACCACTGACTTCATCTCATCTCTAACTCACCTTTGTCGTTCCCATCCGTCTCCTTCCCACCTCTAACTCACCTTTGTTTTGAAACAGATGCTGCCATGTACAATAACTCTGGAGCCCTGCCCACCTCGCCCATGGCACCTACAACCTATGGTATGTGTGATTCCTAACTGTGAAAATTAAGTTGAAGGGACATCTGGAGGCTAAAGAAGGGTGGAGATTTGCAAAAGCCTATCTGTATGGGAGGCTTGATACCAGTTGGCTTTGGATGAAGAGTAACCCTGGAAAGGTAGGAAAGTCCATCTCTAATGTTAAGGCCCAAACTCATTTTCTTCCCTGCTGGTTCATGTGATTCCTCAGCTGAGGCACAGTCAGGAGTTGTCCCAGCTGCTTCATGAGTTTGGAAAGCTTGGGCAGAAACAAGGAAAGGGGCGTTTCTAGGTGTGTATTGCTTCGGATGAGCACTGGACATACCAGCCAGCAATCCGGAAACATGTATGGTCAAGTATCTCCAAAGAGGACCTTCAGTTATCTTGGCATGTCTCAAAGAACGTGGAAAATAAAACTAATTTCTTGCCTGTTTTTCATGAAGTGTGATTCCATAGTTATAGACCAAAGCCATGTTAATATCAGTACAAAATCTGGGAAAGAACAGGAAAATTCTTCATTTCTCAATCTGAGACATGGGAAAGAGAAGGCCATTTTCCCATGGAGAAGGATGGTAGGATATAGGAGCCAAGTAATCAGCAGTAGTAAGACCAAGGATAAGCTGAAGTCCTAAGGCGACATATTGTGGAATTAATCTGAAGGAATAGGGCCTACCTCCATGTCCCCGGGCCAGTCCCTCATGCTGTTTCTTGGCCAGTGCAGTGGTTATATTCTCTACCTTCTCTTTCTGGTCACAGATCCAATGCTTAAAGTTGATGACAGCAACACTCGGATCCTGATCGGGTGCCTGGTAGCCATTATCTTCATCCTCCTGGCCATCATTGTCATCATCCTCTGGAGGCAATTCTGGCAGAAGATGCTGGAGAAGGTGATGAGTCACAGAACGAGCCTAGGGCAGGATGCAGCTCCTCCCTTTCCTAGGCCCCAGCTGCCCCCAGAGTAAAGGCATAGTATAAGAATTTATAAAGGATAAAGTGTTAACTGAGGCCACCAAGGGAAACAGGAATGGAGACACTTGTTGCTGAAAGGGTCCAGAAAAGAATTAGCTAAGTTTATTTTCTCATTTTTAGAATGAGGATTCTGGAATCTTCCTAGGAATTAAAAATATTTTTTTTCTGATACATTGAAACTCAACTTAGGCATTTCCCATGAAGATTCTGATTCATTAGATTTCGGTACAGTACTAACATCTATAATTTTTAAAGAATGATTTATTCAATTTAATCTATTATTACTCTTATTATTTAATTTGCTATAGGGCATGTGTGCTCAATAAAGAGAGACGGAGAGAGAAAGGGAAAGTGAGAAAGCAAGCCTCCAGGTCCAGGACTCAAACCATGGTTGGCCATGTTGGAGTCCAGTGTCCCAACCATTATGCTACCTTATGGCCCCCTGTATTATTATTTTTTTAATTTAACAAGTGATTCTGATGCATAGTTAAGGTCAAGAATCTCTCTCCTACTACCTAACTGAAAAAAATCTGAGAATACTATTGGAGTGCCTTTTCTTCTTTGTCTGACTGTTCAGTGTGTGTGCATGTGTATGTCTGTGTGCAGAAAAACAAACAGCCTCATTAGCATCCAAGTCAAGTTTTTCACAATTATATTTCTACTTCTTTGTGTGCTTGAGGGTTATGATCATGTCTGAGTTCCTCCTCTGACTCTTTCTGTCCAAGTCAAATAATTTGAATAATTTTTATTACATTTACCTAATACTTGACTGTCTATAAAGACTTTTCCCTCATGCTTTCTTTTAGATAAACTTCATTGAATCCTGGTAAGATGGGCATAATGGTTATATTGAAATGCTTTTCTGATGAGAAAATGTGACTTGCTCAAGGTCATACAACTAGTATCCTGTCTTCTATGCTCTTCTCGAGTGCCAATATTCAAATACGTTGACTTATTTCTTCCCAAATAGACACATTTTCCACAAAAGATAGACTATCCGTGACTTTTCTTGTCTTCTTAGGCTAGATCACAACTCCCTGGGCACTGCTGCTAGTGTCTGGTCCTCTCAGAGTCTGCTAGTATTGAAGTGTTTCTGCCTTTGGCCGTGGACACCACCCCAGGTCAATGAGATCCTCTCAGTAGACATGGATTGTGAGCGGTCATGGAAACTCTGGGCTGTGGGGTTTGAAACTGCCTATCAAGGACAGGAAATAGGAAGGAGGATTTAGCCCAACCAATCTCTGTTTGAGGTAGTCTTTCAGAGGAGACCAAAGGACTGTGAGAAAGGTCTTGACTCTCCACAAGGGGCTTGAATCAGGTTTGGAGAGCGTAGTCCAGACAAGTAGCCTGCACTTCCCTCTGACCTTTTCTACATTCAGTTTCTTGAGATTGTTGGAATTTATTTTAAGGTTTTAAGGCAAGGATATTTTACAGAAGAAAGGGTCTATTTTATTTCCTACAAGGACCTCTATCATCAGTCTGAAAACATTTTACCTAAACTAAAGCTTTCGATCTATATAGAGTGACTGAAGACTGAAAGACAGACTCCACAGAGTTTTACCCATCAGCATGAATATGTTTCAAGGCATCAAAGAGGTGATACCAAAACTTTTTCTCCTTAGAATGCTGGAACACACTAGATGTCTAAATGAGGTATTTCAGGGTGAGAGATAGCAAAGTGTGGTGACGGTGCTGTGAGAAGCTGACAAACGAACAGCTTATTGGATAGCTGAAAGCCGACACTTGTCTTCACTAAATAATCTAAGACCACATTTTAACTGAGGGAGGAAGGTCTATGTTGTCTATTCTATGAGCTTTTTCTCTTTATCTAGATCTTTCATATGAGGCCTATTGGAATACATTCATGGGTCAGGAAAGAAAGGCATGTTGGATTGGAGACACTACAGGTGGTGGTGTGGTGGTTGGAGTCCTAGGCTCCAATATGGCTGAGTGTGGTTTGAGTCCTGGACCTGGTGGCATGCTTTCTCTTTTTCTCTCTTTCTCTCTGGGGAGTGCATATGTCCTATAACAATAACAACAACAATAATAATAATAATAAATAAGTAATTCTTTTAAAAAGAGAGAAAAAATGCCCTTGAATATGTAAGTTGGTTCTTCAAAAAATTTTCTACCCTTGTGCACACTGAATCGAATAACTCAAGTTGCTCTAGAATGATACTCATAATTTTTTCCCAGGGACAGAATTTTTTTTGTGGAAGATCTTTAAGCACACCTACTTTCCAAGAAAATTATGTTGCATAGTTTTAGACTGTAGCATTGCTTTTCAGTATTCCTTTGAGAGATCCACCCTACATTTACTGAGTATCTACCATGTGCTGGATTCCATACTCAGTACTGGGGATATTATTGCACCAGACTGCCTTTAGCCTAGCGGATGAAGCAGGCACCTACGTTTCTATATTTCTCTATTAAAAACCCAAACATCCGGATATCAGTATTTTCCTCTTTTTGGTGGAGCAGGCAGCCACATTAGATGGTATGCCACAACAAGTTGTCCGGTTCTTCTTCTTCCTGTATCTGGCATCCCCAGACACCTAGAACTTTCCTGTTCCATTCTTCTAGGCATTTTTATTTTGGTTAGTGCAAATTCAAGGTCAGTGTTTCTGGAGTTTAATAGTACTAGAGGAATATTTCATCTGAGAGCAAGAAGAGGAGGAAGCCAGGTAGTGGCACAGTGGTAATGTGCCAGACCTATAAGGGAAAGGTCTTGGGTTCATGTCCCAGTCCCTCCCTGAGTATGCCAGGCATACACTTGACCCTGGGCTGGCTGAGGCTGGGGGTGGATTATGGTGTGAAGACATTCTTGCCTCTCTGTTTATCTCTCTTTCTCTAATGGAAGAAAGAAAACAAGACTTAAAGAAAGAGAAGAATGTGAGGAAGTAATAATCCTCTTCTCCCTGTTACTGTTTTCCAGGCTTCCCGAAGGATGTTGGATGATGAAATGACCGTCAGCCTTTCCTTACCAAGCGAGTCCAGCATGTTCAACAATAACCGTTCCTCATCACCGAGCGAACAGGAGTCCAACTCAACTTACGATCGCATCTTTCCCCTTCGCCCAGACTACCAGGAGCCATCCAGGCTGATACGAAAACTTCCAGAATTTTCTCCAGGGGAGGAGGAGTCAGGTAGGGATGACTAACAGGCAGGAAACTGAGGAAGGAGCTTTGACAGACATTATGTAGGTGTAACACTTCTGCTCCCAGGTATTCACACCTATTTTTAGTTTATACCAACCTCCTGGAAAGTCTTAAATTAAGTAATATAATGAAGTTAAAAGATATTGTGAAATTTCTAGCTTCGTAGCCATTTTGAGTCATCTAATTTTTTGTTTCTCTTTAACATTCTTGAGAGAGAGAAAGCTTTTTGTTATAGGGCACATATACCCACTAGAGAAACATAGCAACAGAGGGAGAGATAGCGAGAAATCAGCCCCAGGAGAGATGGCCATGCTGCAATCCCTTCTCTTCCATTCTCCTCTCAGGATTTTGGGCACACATGCACTCGTGCCCGGCATGAGTTTCAAGCCGCCAGAACCGGGACTTGAATAATGGTCAGCCATATGGGAGTCTAGCACCTTAACCACTATGCCACTTGCTGGCTCTGATACAAGATTTTATTATGAAAGTAAATATTTCTTGCCTTTTCCTAGTAAAAGCATTGAGGTAAAATAATGCCTACTAATTCAAAACCATACTGTCTTGTAAAAGTGCTGTGGAGTGTTGTCAGGTACTAGGGTCATCTCTGAGGCTCAGGAGAGCTTTTTCATAACGTCATCCACCTCGGAGTGGCCAAGTTTTACCTAGAAGAGAATGAAGGTGTCCAGGAAAGGGAAGCTCAGGCTGACGTAGCAGACTGGGAGTAACTACGACAGCACAGGCTCACCCAGGAGCCAGCCTGGAGGTGTCTTTGCCGTGGAAGGAAAAAAACTCACACCTGCGAGGGGACTTCAAAAATGGGTGGAATTAAAGTGCAAGTTGATTTTGGGACAAAAAATTTTGAGACCCATGCATATTTTTTTCATGATTCCAATGTCTGTGAACTTTTTGAAGATATCTTCGATTTTCTCACTCAATGGATTGAAAACTTTAAAAGAGCACACTGAACTTGGGTAATTTCACAGAGACAACAAGAATAAAGGACATAAACGAATGTATTTCCTAGGTGGTATTGAAATGATTTGCCTATTTTCTGAAGTCTAAAACATCCACCAACTCATATTTGAACATTCTGAAAAAGTTAGATGTGTCTCTTTTTGATGTTTATTTATTTATTTCTTCCAGAAATGAGAGAAAAAGAGACAGTAAAAGGGACACAAAGAGTACCCCCAACAGAACCTGGACAGCAGGATCCCCCGGTGTCACTCGGTGTACTCAGGGGGGTCTCCAGATGTGAACTGCCAACCTGCCCACATGGGTTTGAGCTATGACCTGGGCCCAATTTGGGATGTGTCTTAAACTAGATTCTATGAATGCAATCTGAAAGTTTTTCAGTCCCTAAAGTTGGTTTTTAAATTAATGGTGGTGTCTTCAAATTAAGAAAATGTACTATTGAAACTTCAACCTTGGAGCCAAAGGGGGCATGGTACTTAAGGTGCTGGACTCCCACATGGCTGATGACCATGACTTGAGGCCTGAACCTGGCAGCTTGAAAATCATGCTGGGTGTGTGTATATGCATGCCTGAAATCCCAGGAGAATGGAGGAGAAGGGATTGTGGCATGACCATGTCCCCTGAGGGGGTGATTTTTCACAAGCACCTTATAGCAAAAACCTTTAAAAAACAAAAATTCTAATGCCTAGGACCAGCCAGGCGGCATGGTGATTACGCGGCTGGATCTCAAATGGCTGACTGTGCAGTTTGAGTCCCAGACCTTAGGACCTGAATAACACACTGGGCGCATGTGCTTGCATGCCCAGAATCCTGAAAGGAAAAAGGCAGAGAAGGGATTGCTACGTGGTCACCCCCTGTAGAGTGCTTTCTTACTTTCTGTCTGATCAGTGTACACATCTTAAAGCAAATTAAAAATAGAAAAACTTCAGGACCAGCAGATGGCGTAATGGTTATGTCTCTGGTCTCCCACATAGTCGACTGTGGTTCGAGTCCTAGACTCACTCGGGGTGCAAGTGTGTGCATGTCCAAAATCCCGAGAAGAGAATGGAGGGGAAGGGACTGCCGTGTGGCAACCCCCCCCCACCAGGGGAGAGGGTGATTTCTCGTTTTCTGTTAGTCTGTCTCCCTCTGTTTCTCTGGGAGCACATACACCCTATAGCAAAAATCTCTCTTAAAAAAAAGGAAAAAGAAAAATTTCAACCTTTAACTCCCCTCCTGATATAGCCCGAGACTTCCTTCAGGTTTGCCACACAGTTCTTCGAGATGAACCGAGGCAGTTGTTAATGATCATGTATTATGAAGAGAAGAAAGAAAGCTGAAATAGTGACCTGTAGACCCAGCTGCTAAGACACTGGGCTCCATAGCCTGCGATCACATGGGAAGCCCAGGTTCAATTCCCGGGCTGCCTAAAGACTAGGTATGGTGGTGTGTACCTGTAATCACAGCAGCTCAGGGGGTGAGGCAGGAGGAGCTTGATAGTGAAAGCTTGTCTGAAATAAATAAATAAACAATTGCCTACAGTTTGAAGGCCACACAAAGTGTCTAGAGAAAGCAGAACCATTCATAAGGTAAGAATGTTACAGCGGAGGTTAAATTGTCAAGGGGCATGTCCTGGCCCTCCTCTCAGATTTCCTTCCTTGAGGGACTCTCCATAGGGTCCCCTGGAACCAGTGGTGGCCCTTGTCTTCCAGGCTGCAGTGGCATCGTGAAGCCGGTCCAGCCCAGTGGGCCTGACGGGGTGCCCCACTATGCAGAGGCTGACATAGTGAACCTCCAGGGAGTGACGGGAGGAAACACCTACTCGGTGCCTGCCGTCACCATGGACCTGCTCTCCGGGAAAGATGTGGCCGTGGAAGAGTTCCCTCGGAAACTCCTCACATTTAAGGAGAAGCTGGGAGAAGGCCAGTTTGGTGAGGTGAGTGGGTCCTCTGGTCCTTGGTGGCTTGAAAGAAGTGTTGGATAAATATGGTGAGCAGTGCAAAGTGTTCCTTCCAGAAGTGGATTCACAGCTGACCCTCTCCTCCACCTGTCCCTCCTGGGCTTGTCCTCTGCCATACTAGCACGGGGTCGAGCTCGCCTTTGTCAGAGAGCTGTGTAGTTGCTGGGGCCTGCATAGTAACTCCTGTATAATAACAGGAGTGTGCAAGGCAGGAAGGCCACTGGGCTTCAGACATGGTGAAAAACATTCAGTATTTTCCAAATGTTTACAATCGGTTGCAGAGGGTGGGGCCCACAAGATGCGGTCATCCTTCATGCACTGTCCGGGAACACCCTGCTGCTTGATTGCCCATGTGTTTTTTTCCCTCTTAATAGGAATTATACGTAAAGTGAACCAAAAAAATAATCTCACCCCTGTCTTTGGTTCCAGAATCAGCCACTAGGGAATGAATCACCACCTAAGATGAGGAGGAGTCCTCTTTTCAATTGCCCTCAGAGCGATGCAAGGAATATTACCTTTTCATTCTTGCATCAGTCACATGAACGGTCTGAGAACTCAAAGCCATGTCATAAGTCACATTAGGACTCTCCAGTACTGCCCTCAATTTCCAAATATAGAATTCAGACTTTTCAGACTTTTCAGACTGTGTTACTGGTTTTCGATGGGGGTCATCATATGTTCTCCCTTGAGGTCATCTGGTGTAGGAGGAGGTAGAAGGGTCTGTGGCTCCTGTTCGTGGTCTTACATGCTTTCATTCCGTCCCCTGGGTTGACAACCCCACACTCTAACACATGGGAATTACTTATAGTGTTAAACTCCATGCTAACAGAATGCCTTAGGAAACTGGCTTCTGTTTTGTATAACCCAGTAACTAAACTTTCTTAAATCAAAGTTCAAGCACTTACGCTGAATGACATTTCATAGCGGGCCATGCTGTAATCAAATACTATGTTCTAGATTCATTCATTCATTTATTCCATGTTCCAATCAATGAGTATTTCTTTTATGAGTCATGACCATATCTGAGCTGGTACTTGACCACTGTTTCTCATTTTACCAATTATTCGAATCAAAGAGACGTTACCGATTTCCTCCTACAGTCTCTTGATGATTTTGCCTGAGTTGTAAGAGTTAGTTCATCTCCAGGAAATGTCCAGCGAGAATACTGAGACATCTTCAGGAGAAATGATGATACTGAGACAGGATGGCTTTTGTCTAGGTTCATCTCTGTGAAGTGGAGGGAATGGAAAAATTCAAAGACAAAGAGTTCGCCCTAGATGTCAGTGCCAGCCAGCCTGTCCTGGTGGCCGTGAAAATGCTCCGAGCAGATGCCAACAAGAATGCCAGGTCTGTGGTCTGCATTTTGAAATTTTCTAGATGTATTTTATCTTTAGGGCCAGAAATCATAGTCCCTGACACTTCTGAGCATACTTGTTCTTGTGAGATGGGAAGGTCTGTGACCTGTCTGACATTTTCCATCCTTACACTTCATTTTTCGGGTGGGGTCCGCTGTGCTTATTGTTCTCCTCCATCTCCAACACATGTACATTTTCCATTGTGTCTACCACATTCACCTCCCAATCTCCCGTGCACCCCAGTTCACAAAACAGGAACCACTCTAGGTGTGTCCTTCTCTCATCACACACCCCTGATGCCACGACCTCCTCCTGGAACGTCTCACAATCACAGTCTGCTTTCTTGCTAATCTTCCATTCTCCAGTTTTCATTTCTCCATTTACTTTAGCTTCTCTGTTTTTCTCTTTCATGGTCCTATCCTTCTATGTCCAGAAACCCCTAAAACAACAGCTACCTCTACTTGGAACAGTATCCATGGACCTCAAAGCCTCACAACCCTTTAGCAGTTTCCCAAACTGGCCGATCATGGCTTGGACCCTTCGCTCTACAAGTTGCGGTTTCCAGTTGCCTGCCTGCCTGTCCATCACAGAGATTTTGAGCGAATCCTCATGCAGAGAGGACTGCTGAGTGAAAGCTAGTCGTACGTGCCCCAGAGAAATCCACACATCCGGACGACACGTGTACTTTCCATTTGTATTGTCTTAATTTACCTCACTGGTATTCATAGGTATAGAGTTTATTATTCTTATTCCTCAAATTATCATAATTTCCAAGAATGAAGATAGGTTTCATTCATCAAAAAGTGTCATGATTGACAGAATAAGGAATAAAGAAGAGAGAAAGGTAAGGGAACAGAATTAAGATTTTTAACTGAGAATTTCAATCTTCAAAATGTTAGTATGCATGAAGTGACACGATCAGAGTTCCAGAGACATATGGAGAATATTCCTCACATTAATTTTAGTCCGTGATTAATGGAAGTGGTAAAATGAACAAAGAAAAGAAAACAGGACAAAACCCACGGGATATGACGAAGCCATCATCCATTGTTTTGGTTGGTGAGGTCTGCTGTGCCTCGACTCACCCACTCTGGTTTAGCAATGATGGGGAGCCTGAACTCTGGGTCCTCCCAGAGTTGGTTATGATTAGAGTTTCAGTCAGAGCTTGGGGGAATGAGAAGGGAAGGTGCTGCATTAAGACTACTTTAATTCCAAGGGTTTTATATTGACGTAGTGTGACTTCCGGTCCAAAAGGTCTAGAAAATGCAGTGACTTTCAACTGATCTGCTCTCATTTGGGAGATGAGGGTCTGTGGCCTCCCTAACTCGGATCATGCTACTTTATGACTCAAGGGTGGCTGTCACCAAGCACTCACACCATTTATCTTGACCAAATGAGTACTTTTAAAATGACCCCACGTTCCCATCATGGCCTTTCAGCAGATACTTTGAATAGGCTCCTAAATCTATATTGCAACTGACTGCTAATATTCTTTCATTCTTCAGTTTTCATTTCATACTGGATAAAAAAAAAAAAAAAAAAAAAAAAAA